ATATCAAGTACATGCAAATTAATAGCCAAGTGAGTAATGTATGACCCAAGAATCAATGGGTGCTTCTTTTTAGGCAAAATAGACTTGAACAGAGAAGCGAGCCAGCACCCAAGGTTAACCTTAATATTGTTATGCATGCACCAAATAAAGAAAAATTCGGGCTTAGACAGAATGCCCGAACTATCTCTCCGACCCGAGAAACTATAGGCCAAGAAACGGTGGATATAGCGAGACGCCGGGTCCTTCAGATAAGAACCCTTAGATAGACGAGGATCATAATTATCCCTGTCTACAAACATCTCCTGTCAAATATGGCGATAGCGGGAGAAAAAGGGCTAGACATAGTCACATGCACTCTCGGTATACTCACGAGACTCGGCATAGGCTGGATCAATAAAATCAAGGCCAGATTGAAGTCAGTAATGGAATGGTGGAACTCCTGACCCATGAAACGAAAGCGGATGACATTAGGGTAGAAACTGTGTAACCAGTAGGGAGGTCGAACTCCAATGTGGCATAGAACTCCCTAACTAACTCCACAAAGGCCAGGCGATTAGTAATACGAGAATAGGGAAGCCACCCAATGGCTTCAATCAACTGGTCAAAACCAACTCGAATATTTAGAAGGCCCAAGGTGGCAGCATCCCCGCTAACGACAGGGAATAATCCGCCGTTCACAAGCAGCAGCATATCACCGCTTGTCGGCTGCCCTAGTGAAGTCCAAATTACCCCCAAAATGTGCAGGGTCAGAGATATGGACACCTCTTTGCCTCCCAAGGCGAGCCCTCCTCCCAGAGGAAGACGAAGGATCAGAGGCGGGAATGGAGTGTTGGGGTGGAGGGGGCTAAGGAGTCCTAGGGTTCTTAGACCTAGAAGAGGAAGACTGAGGCCTCACCATGCTTTCCAAATGTCACTCGAAAGAACAAAAAGCACATGCAAATGCCCAAGGGCTGAACAAATACCCCAACAATACCGCAACTGCAATCAACAAGCACTGGAGGTCGCAATTTAGTCAAAAGCAAAAACAATGCAGCCCAAAAGTGCAACAAATGCTCCAAAGACTGAGGGAATGAAGTTAATAGACAGAATATCCCAAGCATGCCAAGTAGACGCAACCAACCGCAATAAGCTGTGGAAGTGTCACAGTAGCTTTCTAATTGACAAATAGATGCAGAAATTACCCAAAAACGTGGTTAATGGTCTCATGTGATATAAAAAACGACCCCAACAAAGCAGAAGTGCCTCCCAAATGGCACAGAGAATGACAACACTTGCCCACCCCCAAAGGCTCAGCAAATGTCCCCCAATTGGACACTCTATCACACACTCATGTAACCACAATAGCCATCCAAATCAACTAACAACCGTAGAATGTAGGCACCCACAATACCAGAACAAAGCTCCCAACAATGCAATAAGATACACTATCACCCAAAATCTCAACAACTGCTGCCAATTGGACAGATAATGGCACACTCAACCAACCAAAAGGTCTAGCACAACAGATCAGAATTTGAGCAACAACTTAACCACAAGAACTTAAACTTTCAAACAAGCAAGCATCTCCAAATAGAAGCAACAACTATAGGCAAAAGATCCCAAGCAGTACCACTGGTGTATGCACAGGGAAAAATTAAATCAAATGGCCAACTCAAATATGATTCCCACAGATGAAAATAGAGGCCTCAAGCAGGCAAAACCCAATGAAAGCTCAACAATGTAAACGATGCCAGACAATACCCCCAAACAAAGTAGCAAATAAACGTAATTGCACCCTTAAAAGTAAACCCAGAAAATGCCCAATGCAGCTCCTGCTTCATCCCTCAAGAAACCCACGAAAAAGCACAAAACCCATAACTTGAAAGTGCAGGGAGAATACTAAAACCAGGGTATAAAATCAATACCTCAACCTATCAATTTAGACAGGTAGTGACGTGCTGCACTGGAGGAGGCGTGGGCACGCCAAGATTATAAAACATCCATTCACTGACTCCAGGAGTTACTAACGTCGTGTGGGCACGCCAAGATTGCACTTCCTGGTCATAGTGGAGGAAAACATTAATACTGATACTACCCAACGGGGAAACGACAAAACAAAAGAAATGAACAACTAAAAATAATAAAACCAATATTCGGGTTGCCTCTCAAAAGAGTGTCTTTCTTTAATGTCTTTGGTTAGACATAACCCAAAATTTGCTTAAACTAAGCAAATCGGGTCCTCCACATGCATCATCTCCACCCGTTCAACTGGAACCCCTTCATAATACAGCTTGAGATGATGACTATTCACCACAAATTTCTTTTCCGTCCTTAAACTCTGGATCTCCACTGCACCATAATGAAAGACATTAGTTACAACGAAGGGACCGATCCAACGAGAACGTAACTTACCTGGAGATATCTTCAATTTTGAGTGGTACAGTAGAACTTTTTGCCCACATTCGAACGTCTTCCTAGAGATCTGCTGGTTCTGAAATATCTTATTTTTCTCCTTATAAATCACAGCATTCTCGTAGGTTTCATTTCGAATCTCCTCCAACTCTTGTAATTGCAACCTTCTTTGAATTCCGCCCTCCTCGATATTCATATTGCATTGCTTAACCGCCCAAAATACTCTATACTCGAACTCGACGGGGAGGTGACATGACTTCCCAAATACCAAACGATAAGGGGACATGCCGATTGGCGTCTTGTACGCCGTTCTATATGCCCATAAGGCATATTCAAGTCTCATACTCCAATCCTTCCTATCAGGTCGAATCATCTTCTCCAAAATCGACTTGATCTCTCGGTTCGATGCTTCCGCCTGACCATTTGTTTGAGGATGATAGGATGTAGATACCTTATGTAAGACGCCATACCTCTTGAAAAGTGCAGCAATCGTCTTGTTGCAGAAATGGATACCCCGATCACTTACAATCGCTCGCGGCATCCCAAAACGGACAAAAATATTAGGTTTGACAAATTCTGCAACCACTTTGGAATCATTAGTACGGGTGGGCTTTGCTTCCATCCATTTTGAAATATAATCTACGACAAGCAATATATATAGAAAATCATAAGACGAAGGAAAAGGCCCCATAAAGTCAATACCCCAAACGTCAAAAATCTCAACAAAAATCATTGGGGTTTAGGTCATTTGATCCCTACGAGAAATATTACCTACTCTTTGACATTTATCACATGACTTACAAAATGAGTAGGCATCCTTGAAGAGGGTCGGCCAATAGAACCCGCTCTCTAGCACCTTGCGAGCAGTTCTCTTTGGTCCAAAGTGACCCTCACATGCAAAAGAGTGACAGTAAACTAAAATATATGAGAATTCATTTTCACATACACATCTACGGATGATTTGGTCGGCACCACGCTTCCAGAGATAAGGGTCATCCCAAATGTAGGCCTTAGCATCACTCCTCAACTTGTCCCTCTTTACCTTAGACCATCTTGCGGGAAACTTGTCAGTGACTAGAAAATTAACAATGTCCGCATACCCAGGCAAGGATAAATTAACAGAAAATAAATACTCATCGGGGAAAGTTTCTCTCAACGGGAGGTCGTCTTCGGCGACTTGTACTCGACTCAAGTGAACTGCTACCAAATTCTCCGCCCCTTTCTTATCTCTGATCTCTAAGTCGAACTCTTATAGCAGTAATATCCACCGTATCGGTCGCGGTTTTGCCTCTTTCTTGGTCAACAGATACCGCAAAGCTTCATGATCAGAGAAAATAATAACTTTAGCACCAAGTAAATATGACCGAAATTTCTCTAAAGCAAAAATAACAACTAAAAGCTCCTTTTTGGTGGTCGAATAGTTCAACTGAGCTCCGTTCAAAGCTCGAGATGCGTAGTAGATAGCATGGGCTGCCTTCTCCACTCTTTGATCCAGCATCGCGCCCACTGCATAATCGCTGGTGTCGCACATGATCTCGAATGGCAGGTTCCAGTTGGGCGATTGGATAATAAGTGAGGAGATCAATAGCTCCTTCAACCTGTCGAACGCCCTCTTACATGCTTCATCGAACTCAAAGGGCACATCTTTTTACAAAAGTTGGAACAGAGGTGCTCCAATTTTCGAGAAATCTTTGATAAACCTTCTATAAAAAACCTGCGTGACCCAAGAAAGAACGCACTTCCCGCACACTCGCAGGGTAAGGTAAAGTAAATATAACATCTATTTTCGCTTTATCAACCTCAATACCCCTAGACGACACTACATGATCCAAAACTATCTCGTGCTCGACCATAAAATGGCATTTTTCCCAATTAAGCACGAGATTAGCTGCTATACACCTTATCAAAATTAATCTGAGGTTATCTAGACAGTTATCAAAACTTTTCCCGTACACACTGAAATCATCCATAAAAACCTCAATAATTTTCTCAACATACTCCGAAAAGATACTTACCATGCATCGTTGGAAGGTGGCAAGTGCATTGCATAGCCCAAATGGCATCCTTCAATATGCAAATGTTCCAAATGGGCACGTGAAGGTTGTTTTCTCCTGGCTCTCGGGTGTGATAGCAATCTGGAAATAACCTGAAAATTCATCCAAAAAATAATAGTAAGCTTGACCTGCTAATCGCTCTACCATTTGATCAATGAAAGGAAGGGGAAAATGGTCCTTTTTCGTGACGGCGTTCAACTTCCTATAATCTATACACTGCCGCCACCCGGTAGGCTTTCGAATTGGTACGATCTCACCCTCTTGGTTTGACTCCACCGTCACCCCTGCCTTCTTCGGGACCACCTGTACTGGACTCACCCAGGGGCTATCTGATATTGCAAAGATTATCCCTACATCTAGCAGTTTCAAGATCTCTTTCTTCACTACCTCTATCATGAGGGGATTTAGTCTCCTCTGAGCCTGCCGCACAGGCTTAGCACCCTCCTCGAGTCGAATCCGATGCATACATACCGCGAGGCTAATTCCCTTGATATCGGCGATGGTCAATCTTATCGCCTGCTTATGGTCCCTCAAAACTCGAATCAATTTGTCTTCTTAGACTTTTGATAGACTCGCGGAGATGATCACCGGGAGTGTCTCCCCCTCACCCAAGTATGCATACTTGAGGTATTTTGGCAACGGTTTCAATTTCAAAACAGGTACCTGCACCACAAATGGAAGTAGCCGTTGGTGAGATTCAGGTGTAAAAATGGGTACGAGATCATACCTTATTTTCGTAGTTGGCAACGTTTGCAACGCTCCAATCACACGTTTGAATTCTTCACTCAACTCTACTCTAGACGTCATCACTGACTTGAAGTGCCTGGTCAAGGTAACTTCCAACTCATCCCTGCCTTCAATTTCAAAAACTTCTTGTACAGCAGGGTCAATAACATTTCCAGAGAAAACAGAGCTAACATTTGAATCTGACGGATATTTCATGATTTCAAAAATGTTAAAATGAATAATATCACCATCAAATTTCATGGACAGAGTGCCCTTATTAACATCAATATTTGTTCGGATTGTGCTAAAAAAGGGTCGGCCTAACAATAAAGGTAACGGGTCATGGGAGTGTTCATCATCCATATCAAGCACATAAAAATCAGTAGGAAAAATCAATTCATTAATTTTCACTAAAACATCCTCAATCAACCCGTCAGGGTATGCGTTGGTTCGGTCAGCCAGTTGAATTATTATTCCAGTCTCTTTCAAAGGGTCTAAATTCAAAGAAGTATAAATAGACTTTGGCATAACATTAATTGAGGCTCCTAGATCTAACATGGCCCTACCAATCAAGGTATTACCTATCCTACAGGGAATGGTGAATATACTTGGATCCCCACGTTTCGGTGGAAGGTTCCTTTGCAAAATTGCTGACACGTTCTCCTCCACTATGACTCGCTCATCTCCCTTCAACCGCCTTCGGTTGACACACAAGTCTCTAAAAAACTTTGCATATCGGGGTACTTGCTTGATCGCATCCAGTAGGGGAATGTTAATTTCCACCTTTCGAAAGATCTCCAAGACCTCTTTCTCCTTGTCCTGCTTTTTTGGTTTTTCCAACCTGTTTGGAAAGGGAGGCGGATTAGTCCTAACTGTAATGACTGGATCCGAGGTTACCTTTGGATCTTTGGTGTCTCTGCTCTCCTCTTCCAACTCTTTCTCTATTTGTTCCTCATCCTTGTCCTTAGGAATCACCGGGTCGGGTCCTTGGACCCCCTTGCCACTCCTCAAGGTCATGGCGCTCACATTCTTCGGATTCAACTCAGGTTGAAATGGTAAGTTCCCTTGAACCTGGAACTCCAAATGGTTGATTGCGATGGCCATTTGATTTACTTGAGTTTGCAATGACTGCACTTGCCCCAGTTGATTCCTCATGCTTTGCATGTCTGAATTCATCTTTTGTTGATTCGCGAATAGTTGTTTCATCATCTCTTCCATGGACGGACTCAAGTTCGAAGGGGGTGGTGGTTGGCGAGGTTGGTACTGCTGCTGGTACCCTTACTGCCTATTTGGTACGAAGTTGGACTGCCTATTCCCTCCATAACTGAGGTTGAGATGATCTCTCCAACTAGGATTGTAGGTGCTTGAGTAAGGGTCGTACTGCTTTCTTGGCGCGGGCGCATGGCCGGCCATGTTCACTTGTTCTGCATTTTCTTCTTGAACTAGTAGGCACATCTCTGTAGAATGACCCAAGGCAACACATACCCCACACACTTTGGCTTGTGAGGCACTTTTCACAGTTAACTGTCGCACGAAGGATGTCAGTTCAGAAATTTGTTGTTGGATGGAGGATGTTTCTACCTCATTCACCTTATGCGTCGGGACATCCTCCCTAGTACCAAATTGCTGCGAATTTTCAGCCATTCCCTCAATCAACTCCCATGCTGCCCGAGAAGTCTTGTTCACCAACGCCCCTCCACTTGCAGCATCGATTATACTCCTGTCTCTGAAAAGTAGCCCCTTGTAGAAATATTGGATGAGCAGTTGCTCACTTATCTGATGCTGAGGGCATTTGATACACAACTTCTTAACCTCTCCCAGTACTCATAGAGGGACTTGTCTAGGTGTTATTTGATGCCGCATATCTCCTTCCTTAGGTTTGCAGCTCGAGACACAGGGAAATATTTGTCTAAGAATTTCTTCTTCAACTGGTCCCACGTGGTGATACTACCAGTTGGTAGGTAGTGCAGCCAGTCTTTCGCGGAGTCCTTTAAAGAGAAGGGGAAGACCCTCATTTTTATCTGCTCTTCTGTAATTCTCGGAGGCTTCATACTATTGCATACGACGTCGAACTCTTGCAAGTGCTTATAGGGCTCCTCACCTAATAAACCATGAAAAGATGGTAAGAGATGAATTAGGCCAGATTTCAACTAAAAAGATGTGTTATCATTTAAACTTAGAAAAGTAATGCACAAAGGTTGCTGATTTAAATTACGCGCAGCCAACTCCCTTAGTGTTTGTGCACTTGTCATGGTGATTTCCTATTGATCCGAGTCACTTGAAGTGTCACAAACGAATCTGCCGGTTCAACTTCTGACTCAGGTCTCTGAGATGCAGCACTGGTGTGCCTCTCTCTGAGCTGTCTGGTTTCTCTTCTCGTTCTATGCGCGGTCTTCTCTACTTCATGATCGAAAATTAATTCGCCTGTACGAGAAGATCGAGGCATAAACTAGAAAAATATCAGAAAATTAGAACAAAATTAAAATTAAAAAGAAACAAATAATTAACGCCAGTCCCTGGCAGCGGCGCCAAAAATTGACATGTTGTCGAGCCTGTGCAATAATAAAAATAGAACCTAACTACCACTAGAAGCAGTCAATAATTAACCCTAGGTACTGGAGCAGGAACTCTAGGTGTGCAATGGGTTACTTGATTCACCCTGTTCCCGAAAAGTTTTCTTAATCCGATATACCAGAATTAATTAGTTGACAAAAATTACTAAATAGTAGACAGTGGCAAGTAGGGTCGTCTCCTCAGGGATTGGGGATATTTATCTCTTTTAAATTCCAATTGGTAAGGGGGATTTCATCGGAATGAAACTAAAAATAATTAAACAATTCAGCTAAAAAAAAATAATTAACTAGCGCGAATATAGCAGGAATTAAATCAAGAATAGATAAATTCTAGCCAAGGATACAATTACACAGACACAGTCCATTTATCCGATCATTGATGTAAGAGAGGTTCACTTAATTTATTAATAGGCTAGTTATAGTCGCCAATGAACTCTAACGACCAATTTTTCCTTAATTTATTGATAACCAAGGTACGACTATTGATCACCCCTAACCAGAAAATATTTCTAGGTACGACCGTAGGAATTAATTTTTCAATTGCATTAATGACTAGAAAAATCTAGCCCTAATCAATAACACGCTACGAGTGTTATTTAAATTAGATTGCACGTTCCCTTAACGTGTAAAGACACCAGTTGCCATTAATATTAATCAATCAAACAATTACGGATTTAATTGACTAAATTGACACGAGATTAATAAATCACATTGAACATCGGGCCCTTGACATCCAATTAATAAAATAATCCCATGAAAATTCAAGTAGACAACGTGCAAATATTAATAAATTGAGAAACACGTGAAAACTAATTAGATCTCACAGATTTTTGGGACTATGCCGTCGAGTTGACCCTTGACTAGATGAAAGGTTTAGCCACGCCGCATAATTAAATCTTCATGCAAATTAATTGATTGCAAAGGCATTAAGTTTTCCACTAGAAAGCAAGAAATAAGGGATGTTTTTCCCGTTGGGGAATATTGTCGAACAGTTGGCGTGTGCCTGACAAAGGGAAAAGAAAAGAAAAAAACTGAACTATCCTAGAACTATTCTCAGAGCTAATCATCAGATCCTCCTGTACGTTCGTTGCTCTTTTAAAGCCAAATGACTAATGTCTCATGCTATCTTTGGTGGTCCTCACGAATTTGGAACAAGCCTGCCGAATTACTTCTTGTTTCAAGTCTCTGTACGTTTCTTTCTTTGAAGAGCCCAAATGACTAAGTGCCTTTCACTAGCTTTGTAGTCCCCGCCAATCCAAGGGCCCAAGGATTAGAGCCCTCTGCCGAAGTGCTTGTGTGGAGGACTCCTAATCAGCCAACAGGGAATTGGAAGTCCAGATAGCAAAAAGGAAATTCGTCTCCTTCTTAGCACCATGCGGGCCCAGTTTGTGGAGCCCTTAGAAGTCTCCATTATCCCCAGAAAGTCCCTCCTTTTTGGTAGTTTTCTGCTCCATTCCCTTAAATTAAATCCAGATACCAAACATAAGCAGATATCGACGATTAACACAACATCTGATAGATATAAAAGGGAAAATTAATAATAAAATTACTAACAAATGATACCCTATCATTGGAGTGAGTCTTTCCATTGAATTTTTTATTCTACTCGTACCTCTTTTCGAGACAACTAGAAGGGTATTACCCAAGAGATAGAGTTGTGGTCCGAGATTTAGGGAGGACAAAAGGCCTGTTACAAAAGCTAAGGAGCCTCGACGTCAGAACACCAATCGCATTCCTCCACCTAATTCAAATCAACCTCACAATTCCTTTGCAAGACCAATTGGTGATAAATGTTAGAGGTGCAGGCAACTAGGACATATGTTTAATTATTGTCCTAACCCCCCGGAGGCAGATTAGTTTAGTAGAGAATGTTAAAAATGTGGACGATGCACCAGATGTAAAAAATGATGAAGAGGAGTACATCTGCAGACCTAATGGAGAGGAACATGAGCAAGATTATCGGGTTTACGTGGTCAAGAAGTTGTTGCTGACCCCTTGGTGCCAAGATGACTCTCAGTGCCACAAATTGTTTGAAATCAGGTGCACTATTTTAGGTAAATTTTGTGATTTGGTTATTGATAGTGGTAGCATTAAGAATATTGTTTCTAGTGCTTTAATCGAGTCTTTAAAATTGCTGATTATTGATCATCCTGAACCCTATAAATTGGGATGTATTAAGAATGTAGAACCTGTATGTATCATTAAGTAGTGTAGGGTTCCTCTTTCTATACATAAACACTACAGAGATGAAATAATTTGTGATGTCGTTGATATGAAGGTCTGTCAGTTACTACTAGGATGTTCCTGGCATTTTGATGTTAATGCTACTCTTTTGGGTCAGGACAATATTTATAAATTTAGTAAAAAATGGGAAAAAGATCATTTTGCTTCCTTTGAAGTCTAGTGATCATCCTGGTAGTAGTCAAGCTAGCAGTACTGGGGGTAAGAATTTTCTAACCATCACCCGTTTGGAGGGAGTGTTTCTTGCAGATTGCAGGAGTTCGAGGGAAGTCCATGCATTAGTAATAAAAGGAATGCTGACAATAGGAGATAAGCAGATTGAATTGGTCATTCCTTTACCAGTACAAAAGTTGCTAGAGGAGTTTGCAAACATCATTCGGGATGATATTCCACCTAGCTCACCACTTATGCGGAGTATTCAGCATGCTATCGATTTTGTCCGGAGTTAGTTTGCCCAATTTACCACCCCATGCAGGTAAGTATGTTTCTAGTTGCCAGAAGCTGAGTATCTATATCGTGGTTCAAGGACTCGGCCGAGTCGTCATGGGAATGGGGCTTTCCGATCTGATACTGGAACAAGATGATTTCAAGATAATGAATCGCCGAGAACTCCACCGAGACGTCTCTGAGACGGATAGAAATGGCCGAGTCGTTCTGAGTTGCCCCAAGTCATCCCAAGTCAGCTCAAATTTTTATTATTTTTGCTAATTTTTTAATTATTTTTTTATCATATATTTTTACAATTTTTAGAATATTAAATATTTCAAAAATTTGCATCTCGCCGAAACCGCGACCGATATGCCCAGACTGATTTGTGCCATTATCTTGTGCTTGTTCTGTTGTTTGCCTCTCATTTAAAAATTTTTTATGTATGCTAGAGAGGATGATTGATCTTTCCTTATTTATTGGGTATTATCCATATTAAATGCATTTTTTTATTAAAAATAAGAAAAAGGGTACATAGCAGACTAAAAAAATTTAAAAAAAGGGCAAATTTGAGCATTGCCCTTTTTTCCTTTCTTCTTTTTGATATGATCACAAGTAATAACATTGGAGGGATCTATACTCATGGATTACGAACATACAACGTTACAACTACTAAGCACAAATAATGGAATGAAGACTAAACCAACGACTTCTATCATTTTACTGTTTTAAGTTGTTTTCTGTGGAATAGATAGGGACTTAACGGATTTCTACTTTCCAATAAATCACATAATTATCTAAATTTGACAAGCAAATAATGAATTGAATATTCGAGGCTTTGATATAATTTTGGACAAAGCTCAAACGAAACAGTTAGCCCGACTCAACTCCGCTTATTTCAAGCTCTAATTGCAATCAGTCTGTGCTACGATTCAGTAAGTGCTATATAAAATTGCTTTGTGTATGTACAAAGTTGAA